GCACAACCTATCAAACCACAATCCAACTTGCTACAAGACAACTTGTTTCAAGAATCATTTTAGCCTTCCGCACAAGTTCAATTCTCAAGCCAATAACCATGCACCAAAATTATTAAAGTGTGTGATGATCAAGTGTGCACAAATGCTAAGTTGAGATTATGCAAAACTTGGCTTTGAATGAGATTCCATAGGCTTTCCCTTCATACTCCCACTAGTTCAACTCCAAGATTGCATGCTAAGATCAAGTAGGACTTTTATTTGGCTTGTAATGGGGCTAAGGGTGAAAGGTTAACAAAGAAGGGGTAAGGAAAATAAACAAAGGAGAGAACTTCACATTTATTCACAATTGGAGCTAGAAGAGATATGACATTTATGAACAAAGGAGCAAACAAGACTTAAAGGACGTACAAAACAAACCTCTAAAATGGTGGGGGTTGAGTACAACTCTCGAAACAAACTTCAAACTTTTATTCTTCTTCTTTTCTCTTCATTTTTCTCATTTCATCTCTTTTTCATGACTTTTTTCTCAATTTTCTCATCATTTTTTTTCTTTTCTTTAATTCAAAACAATAAACAAACTTATTCCATGAACCAATACCCCTACACTTAGACAAAATTATCAAGAGGATTACTTACAAAACAAGCTCCAATAAAGATCTCTTCAAAGAAAAAGAATAAATGTTCTATTCTCTCAAGGGTGAAGGGAAATATTTTGGCTAGGGGTTAAGGGTTAAAAATGAGGGTTAACACAAGGAAAAACAATAACAATGTAGAGACAAGTGCTTAACACTTATTAAACAAACAAAAAGCTCAACGGGGACAACTAGGGGTAATAACATATGTGAGGGGTAGGCTTGAAAGACTCGGGCTAAACAAAAATGGCCTAAATCATTTCAAAACATGCAAATCTTAGATTTCACTTGGAGAGTAATGAGGCAAGTTCTAGCAAAACAACCATAACCGGAATCCCACATAAGCCTTCACTAGCAATGCATAACACACAAGATCAAGAATTGATTCAATTATTAAGTGGTTAACAAGGCTATTGGCAAGAGAATAGATCAATCATGTGTTATACGTCAAATCATCAATCACAAATTGCACCGCAACAAGCACCACCAAATCAAACCACAAACCAACAAAGAGGGAGTGATCACAACTTCAAGCAAAGATGAGAAATTTACCAAATACTATGCACAATGAGTCATCCAAGCAAAGTTTCAAAAAGTTTCAAAATTTCAAAATTTTCCAATATTTTGTCCACCCCCCACACTTAGAAATTACATCGTCCTCGATGTAAAAGAAAATAAAGCACAAGGGAGAAAAAGTAGCACAATAAACACAAGTGAGAGCATGATATATAAAAAATAAAAGTGTAAAGAAAAATAAAGAAGAAAGTAAAGTGCAATAAAATGAAAGATAACATGGGGTGCCTCCCATGAAGCGCTACGTTTAACGTCGCTAGCTCGACTTGACCTCTCAAGTTTCAACCATCATTGGATTGGAGAAAGAACATTCCATCCTTCCTAGCAAACTTATCCTCAAGATAGTGCTTCAAATGGTGGCCATCAACAAATTCCTTTAAGATCAAGTTCGGCACATCATTTGCTAGGATTCCATTTCTCTTCATTCCAAACTTCATGCCTCTTTCCTCAAATCCGTTCTTGATCCATAAATCAATCAAGGATTTCTTCCTAAACTTTGGGTCAAGATAGTAGCCATGAGCTTGATTAGGGCTGCAAATGAGCCGAGCGGCTCGCGAGCGGTTCGCGAGCCGCTCGGTCAAAGCTCGGATTCGCGCCCGGTCAATTCGAGCTCGAGCTCATATGTTATATGCTCGCGGCTCGTCGAGCTGGTTCGCGAGCCATAAGTAAATAAATAATATAATATAATATATTAATATATATACTTAAATTCCTAATGTCAAACACTCAAACCCTAAAGACAAAAATCGTAAATTATTCAATTCTCTCCACTCGCATTCTCCGCCGGTCGGTCCTGTCGCTTCTCGCGTCTCTCTACAGTCGCCGACATACTCGCCGGCTTCCTCTCGCAGCCACCGCCGGCGACGGTGCAGCCGAACCCAAGTCCACCGCTGCCGCTAGCTCTCAGCTCTCTGCCTCTCTGGACTCCCTCAGGCGCGGCTCGTCGTGACTGCTGCTTCCGGTTCCCTCTCGCAGCCACCGCCGGTGACGCAGCAGCCAAGCACCTCCGACGACGGTCCGGCACTCCGGCACCTCCTTCTACCACTGTAAGGTAATTTTTTTTTTTTTTAAATATGATATCTATGTTGCTGAGTTAGTGCAAAGTGCAAACTAGTGCAAACTCTAAGGTAAACTGCCGAGTATGTTTCTGTTTTAAGCTTATTAGAATATGTTTCTGCTCTATTTTGTGCCTATTAGAGTATGTTTCTGTTTTGTGCGTATTTTCTGCCTATTTTGTGCCTATTACAATATGTTTCTGCTCTATTTTGTGCCTCTGCCGAGTATGTTTCTGTTTTGTGCGTATTTTGTGCCTATTTTGTGCCTATTAGAATATGTTTCTGCTCTATTTTGTGCCTATTAGATTATGTTTCTGTTTTGTGCATATTTTGTGGCTATTAGAGTAATTGAAAGTTTGCAACGCTACCAAAATAGATAGAAGAATCAGATATAGAACAATCTTTTTCATTTTGAGATTCCATTCTGCAAAACCAAGAAATTTTTATAGTAATTAAAGTGAACAAGGAAGAGTATCCAAGAAATATCAAATAGATACAAGCAAAGATTTTCACTCCCCATTTTATAAACAAATAAGATGAGCCTTTAGCTTAAAATGAAGCCACGCCACGTCAACAAAATCACCCCAATTAAGCTAATTCTCAAAGACATCATGGGCCAAAGGAATGTAAATAAAAATACTGAACAGAAGAATAAAGGTTGGGGTTTTGTTGAGATCCCAAACTCACATTCCTTGTATGTTTCATTAATCTTTAAATAGATGTTAATTGCAACTAAAATCCTAACCAAATTTCAAATTAATTAAACAAGTTATTGATTTTATTATTGTTTTCTATTAGTTATGTCTACCGAGAATTCATCTATCCCGCAAAATCTACCTACTTCAATCAGTATGGTTGGTGAAAGTAATGAAGTGCGACAAACTGAAGGAATTGACTTAGATTTAGGTGATCATGATACACCCCAAAATGAAGATGTAGAACAACAATCAGATTTTCAAACAAACAAGAGGAAAAAAACCTCAAGTGTGTGGGTTGATTTTGAAGTGATCACTGTAGATGGAATAAAGAAGGTTAAGTGCAATCATTGTCATCATCACTTTGCATTGACTAAAACTGGAACGACAACTAGCTACAAGAGGCATCAAGAGAAATGTGTTAAGAGAAAGGCAAACTTACAAGTAACTATTTAATTCTCATTAGCTTAAATGTTAGCTAGATGGAAATAAATTTATAGTAATTGACTAATTGTATTGGTTTTGCAGGTGGTTGATCAACAAACTAAGTTGAATTTTTTGCCTAGTGATGGAGTTTCATCTTCCCTTCCGCCATTACATCATGGGAAGTTTGACATGGAAGTAATGAGAGAGTCTGCTGCTCATTGGATCATGATGCATGAGCACCCATTTAACATTTTGGAAGAAGTAGGATTTAACATCATGATGAAACGAGGAATGCCAGAGTGGAGAAAGATTAGTAGAAGCACAAACAAATCAGACTGTTTGAAGGTTTATGAGCTTGAAAAGAAAAAGTTGAAGCACAATCTTGAATCCGTTAACAAAGTAAGTTTGACAACGGATTGTTGGAAATCAAAAAACCAAAAGATTGAGTACATGGTTGTGACTGGCCATTGGATTGATTCTAGTTGGAAATTGCAGAAGAGAGTTTTAAGCTTTATCAATATTCCACCACCGAGGGGAGGTCTGCAGATATGTGATGCTATATTTAGGTGCATGAAAGATTGGGGAATTGAAAAGAAGGTTTTTACAATTACGGTTGATAATGCTACTAGTAATGATTCTGCAATTCGGTACATGAAGGATACACTTCAAAGATCAAGAAGTTTGGTATGTGGAGGTCGTTTATTTCATGTTCGATGTTGTGCACACATTTTGAACTTGTGTGTTCAAGATGGATTAGAAGAGATTCGACATGTCATTAGGGATGTTAGGGATAGTGTCGAATATGTGAACCGATCGGAGGCAAGACGTATACAGTTTGCAGATTGTGTGCAGCAATTACAGTTGAAAGATAGAAAATTGATCCGTGAATGTAAAACAAGATGGAACTCGACTTTTGAGATGCTAAGTTGTGCACTCAAGTTTAAAGAAGCTTTTAAGATGTTAAATGATCGTGATCCATTTTTCGACAGTTGTCCGTTAGAAGATGATTGGGTTAAAGTTACCAAGGTTTGCTCTATTTTAGAGGCTTTCTGGACAGCTACTCACATTATTTCAGGTTTGTTTCTTTTAACTTGTTTCTTCAAATTTGTTTTAGATTGTGACTTGTGAGTATCTGAATTCAAATTTGTTTCAGGTTGTGAGTACCCTACTTCAAATTTATTTCTTCAAGAAGTTCAGAAAATCAAAGCAGCCTTGGATAGTCACGCAAATGATGAGGATTCCTTCATTAAGGATTTGGTTGGGAAAATGAAAATGAAGTTTGATAAATATTGGGGTGAGTGTAATCTGTTGATGGCTATAGGTGCTGTTTTTGATCCAAGAAAGAAGATGCTTGCTGTTGAGTTTTGTTTTCCTAGACTGTATTCTAATATTGAAGCTAAGGAAAACATTTCAAAAGTGAAAGAGATCATCAATACTCTTTATGAAGAGTATGTTGCTGAAGCAATGAACAAAGACATTTCGGAAAATTTAGGTTCTTCTACAACTTTTAGGAGCCAAGTAAGCCATCAAAGTTCTACACACGATTGGGATGATTTTGATGATTATTGTGCTCAAGTTGAAAACTTCAGAGCCTACGAAATCAGAGTTAGCAGACTATCTTGAAAAAGGCCGTCTTAAGAAAAGTGAGATTGCTGCAGACTTTTCTTGTTTGGATTGGTGGAAGATGAATAAAATGCACTATCCAATATTGGCAAGAATGGCAGCAGATATCTTAGCTATACCTGTTAGCACGGTGGCTTCAGAAGCAACGTTTAGTGCGGGGACACGAGTAATTGATTCTTATCGTGCATCATTGCTGCCGGAAACAGTACAAGCTTTACTCTGTGGGGGTGATTGGCTTCGACATATACACGGAGTTACCAAAAACAAGGTAAGTTAATTTTTAATTTATAACTTTTATGTTAAATGATGCATTGCCTTTTAAAAATATTTTTTTAATTATATGTTAATTTATCTTCTTTTTTTTTTTCAGAAAGAGAAATCGTATCAAGAAATTTATCTTCCTGTATCCAACCCATGAAAGTAAGTTACACACTTTATCTTCTAGTATCCAACTCATGAGTAACATTTCAATTAAAATCTATATATTGATCATTTACAGCTTTTATATATTTAGTTAGTGTGTTTAAGGTCTAAAGATTTGCAGGTTATGTTAGAATGATTGTTCCTAATCTTTTTTGACGGGGCGTTGTTGCTGGAAAGAGTGAAGATTGAAAAGCATGGCGAGTGTGAAGTTGATGTTATGTTCTTTAACTTGTATTGAATTGATGTGAAGTTGATGTTAAGTTCTTTAACTTGTATTGAATTGATGTGAAGTTGTTTAATATGTTTGTATTTTGTAATGTTGTTGTAGACTTCTACTTTAGCTTTGAAGCTGTAAACTTGTGTGGAGAGCTTTGTTTTGGACTTTGATTTTTTTTTTTTTTTGAGTTCTGATTCAACATGTATTAAATAGGTCAAATTGTGCTAGAATTCGAGCTCGAATCGAGCTCGAATTCGAGCACTTCGCGAACTCGAATCCTAGTCGAGCAGCTCGAGCTCGAACAAACGAGCAACTCGAGCCGAGCTCGAGCTGCTCAACATTGTGACGAGCTCGAGCTCGAGGCCCATTTTCGAGCTCGAGCTCGAGCTCGAGCTCCCCTCTAACAAATCGAGCTCGAGCTCGAGCTACCCAAAGCTCGAGCTCGGCTCGGCTCGTTAGCAGCCCTAAGCTTGATTCTTTTCTTGATCCCCACATTTTTCATGTTCTTGATTTTCCTTTTCTTGAGCAAGTAATGGAAACCTTGGGTCTTCGTCATGCACCAATAGGAAGTTAGAATCCTTGGATATGAATATAGGCCAATGATGGCCTACACTTTCAAGAATATTGACTCCTCCCGGTTCCCAAATTCTTCTAAAATTCTCAACATGCTCCATTAAAGGGAGTTTCTCATTTAAGCCCTGCATTCTCCCAACTACATTTTCCTTCAAATTCTCTTCAAATGGACAACTTTCAATGTGATTCTTGTCACCAACTTCCATATTCTCTTCCCCTTCGTCCTCAACACTCTCATCTTTTGTTTCTTCCTCAACACCATCATTTTCTTGCACTTCTTCAATTGGACCATCTTCTAGTTGTTCATTATCACCATTCCCGTGCAACCCTATACTCTCTCCCCAACTTGGTGTCTCCATCTCAATGCATTCGTCATAGACCTCATCATCTTCATCATCAATGTCCTCACCTCGCTTTTTATTTTCTTTAACCACATGACCTTCATTTAACAATAGCAACTCTTGTAGAACATCTACATTGGAAGACAATTCTTGAATGGGTTCTTGAGTTGTCAAACCTTGTATTTGAGCCATCATGTTGTCTAGTAGAACTTGTTGTTCATTCATTTGCTTAAGATGTAGGCCATCATAAACTTCATCTCGAGATCTAGATCAAATTGTTGGCATTCTTGTTGAGGTTCTTGATAGAGTGGCTCTTGAGGTTCCCATTGATTATTGGCATACTCTTCTTCACTCGGTCTCATGGGATAGCCATCATCCTCAATGTCACCATCGGGTGCAATAGTGACTCCCCAACGCTTAGCTAATGCTAATGTCTCCTCATCTAATTCATACTTTCTAACACTTGGTGAATGGGTGTGATGATCATATGGGGGTTGAATGTCTTGGGGGTATGGTGTGTAATGAATGGGTGAAAGGTATGGATTTGAAGAGTAATCTTGTGGTGGGAAAGGATGTTGAGGTGGATTGTAGTCTTGTGAACATTGAGGGTATTTATCATTAAAAGCATATTGGGGATCTTGGTATTGTTGAGGATAGAGATTATGGTATGGAGGTTGGGAATGACAAGGCAAGTCTTGGTAGGATTGTGGTGGGTAAGGATTTTGGAAGTTTGGAGTGTATTGAGAGTATGAGTTTTGGGGGTGGAATTGTGGTGGACAAAAATATTGAGATTGAGCATCATGGTAATGGTTAGGAGGTGGGGGTTGAGTGGTGCAAGGATCTCCATATCCATCATGTTGGTTACCCCCATAAGATTGAGAATCATAATATCCTCCTTGGAATGCATACTCATCCATGGTGAAAGTTCTTGATTGAGTGCTAAAAGCTCCTCCTTTTGAATCTAGAGTGTATGCACAAAGTATGGATCTTTCAACCAAAACTCAAACAAGGTAAAACAATTAGCTCTTCAAACAATAAAAACAAACAAAAAGAAAGAAAAAGCTTAGTCTCCTAAGATTCCCTAAACTCCAATGCTAGTGAAACAAGTAATCACATAGAACCACCAAATTGCCAATCCCCGGCAACGGCGCCAATTTTTGATGTAGAAAAAATAAGTGATGGTGAGTGTACGGGTGTGTAATGTCATCCTCAGGGGATTGGGATTTATGGCACGTAATACGCAATCACAAGCGACTAGGCACTAGCATAAGAAAATCAACAAGAAGCTAAGAAAATAACAAGTTTCAAGGTTACGGTAGCTAAACAAAGTAACACAAACACATATTAACAAGATGTAAACACGAAACAAAGAAATAGGACTCAAGCTAGGGAACATTATCATCTAGATGCATAGCACAACCTAAGGATTGGGGAAAAATCACAAAACCAAGGAATAGAGGGGATGCACGTAGGAATCCTAGTCTATAAGTCACTCACGTGAGCAAATTAGCTAGGATTAGAACAAGGAATTGCCCCACTCTCGTGGTGAATCAACTCCAAGTTCTTCAAGAACACAAAGCATCTAAAACTCCCAATTTCTCCCATTTTCATAGGAAAAATCAGGTTTATGCAAGGAGTGGCTTGGAATCTTGACCCAACTCTCATTGAGGCCAATAATCCTCCAAAACATGTCAATGAATGTTGTACACCAAGCATTAACAAAATACAAACACAAATCCTTCATAAACTCAAGAACCCTAGGTAGGCAAAATCCCCTTTATGTAATAATCACAAAAAGCATCAAGATATATAATACAACCCTAACTCAAGTCCATAAACTAACTACTCATGATTCAATAGCATAAAGAGCACAAAAACATAAGTGTAAAGCATAAACATTGCAAGATAAAGAGATAAAAGGGAGAAGAAAACTTCACTAAGAAATGGATGATAAATCTTGGAATTCAAGTGTTGAATCCTTGAATACAAGCTTGAAATATGATAAAGAACCTAAATCTACACCTAATCTAACACTAAAATATGAAAAGAAAGAGTAGAAAATAGTTAGGGTTCGAATGGGGTTCAAAACCGAGTAGAAATGAGTGAAAACTCAACTAAAATACAGCAGAGACGGGGGCTCGACGCGTCGAGAGTAATTCTCGACGCGTCGAGCATTTACAGATTGCAAAATCGCGACCTTACTGCCAAGATTCGACGCGTCGAGTGCTTCTCTGCAACGCAACTCCGACTTGTAGGCTGATTTTGACCACTTTATGCTCAGAATTAGGCTTCAATGTCTTCATGAAAGTTGTAGCTCTTCGAGTCTTCTTTCCAATGGAGCAAAAATCACTGCATTTGGACATTTCTAGGTCGAGATATGGTCCAAAAACTAAGGTATCGACGTGCAGGTCGGGAATTTCAATTCCATGATCTTTTGCTTCTCTTTTGCTTTGGTTTGCCCAAATGATTAAGACCATTGAATACACCACTCTTAGGCTTCCTTGGAAGTGTTTTGTCCATCATCTTAGCTTCTCCTTGGCTCCCATGAACCCTAAATGTATCCATAATGCTCCACTTGACTCCAATGTCCTTCAAAATGCATGAAAATATTCATTTTTGCTTCCAAAGATTTTCAAACCAAATTCCTTGCAAAATAACACAAATTAGTCCTAAACTAATGAAATTTGGAATGATCTATAAATAAAATAGCTTAGTGAAAGGAGTAAAAATATAGACAAATAAGCACTTATCATGGTTAATAGATATGTGGTGGTAGATTAGTTGACTCTAGCCAACCTATTATATAGGAGAGTATTAATTACGTTACCTTTTCTTGAATGCTACTGACTATATTACGTTACCTTATTCCTATAGGTTTGTATTATTGTAATCCTTTTGTAACTGAATACAATTTGAATCAATCTCTCTCATCTGGTATCAGTTAGCATTAGGTTTCTCCCCTACCACCATCACCAATACTGACACTGCTAATCATTTTTTTAAAAAAATATTTCTCAAATTTTCAAACGAACAATTAATTTCGTTTAAGTACTAGTTGTTGCATATTTTATTTGTTTATTTATTAATACTCATGTATATCAAATTGCAATGCTATTAGTATATTCATGGTTTTCATCACATTAAATAAACAAAAAAAAAAAAAAAACACACACATACACAAGTGCACAACACATACTAAATACTAGTATTTCAAGTAACTGTATGTGTACAAAACAAAACAAAAACACACGCACACAAGTGCACAACACATACTAATAAATACTAGTATTTCAAGTAACCGTGTGTGTGTTTATTTATTTATAATTGTAGAATTCATTATATAGTATATAATAGTATATATAATAATTATAACACTTTAAAATAATAAAATAAAAATAAAAATAGAGAAGTATCCAGAAGCCCATCTTCTGGACATTTCCGATCATTTCTCTCTCTCTCTCTATGATCTATCTTACCCCTACGATCTATCTTCTCTCTACGATTTCTATCTGTCTCTGTATTGCATACGGTTTAGGCCGTGATGCCGGCTAAATTTGCTAAGATGCTTGTATACTCAACTCATTCTTGTGTAGATCATACTTTATATTTTGTAACAGAGCCAGAGGGAGATAGAAGATTCAGAATTTAGGGTAGTCCTAAATTTCTTTCAGATATCGAACCCTACTTTTCTAAAGCACCGGCGAGTGTAATGCTTCGTTGGTTCTAATCCCCCTAAATCTCTAGATGAACGTCGATCTGCAGATTAGAGCTATGGATGTGATGGATCTCACATCATTTGCAATCGGAGGAAAGTAAGGTATGTTCAACTTTATTTTTAGTGAATTTTTTTATAGTTTTCTTAAAAATATTTAGCTGGAAATTGGTTAAAAATTCAAATTTAGGTATACTTTAATTATACTCTTATTGGTAAAATATGTTCTCTAAATTGATTTTTTTTTTTTTGATAAAATATTGTAATTATACTCTTTTTTTTTTTGTTTTTTTTTTTTCATAATTACTAACCCTTTATATTTATATTTGTTTTTTCGTGTGTGCGAGGATGAACTTGGTGATACACTTGTAATTGCCTCTTAATTCTGATCTGGATATAGTGTATATGTTATTTTAATTAGGTTAGAGTCACTTGGAACTGCAACTCTTTGTAAAAAGTCTCTTGTCTTAGCTTTTAGTTGTAAAGGTTCATCTGAATTATTACACAGTAGCATAAAGTTGTAATCTGGTATTTTAAGACTTATTGGTGAAGTTAAGAGTATTTTGGTGTACATATATATAGTTGGTTTGATCACTTTGGTATTTTAATTAACATCGATAATCTATAATTGACATTATATATATATATATATATATATATATATATATATATATATATATTGCTAATCTCCTGAATCAACACAGTGATGTATGTATTAAAAAAAGAAAAGAAAAAAAAGAGATAAGCTTTGTCGAGAAGAAGGCTGGCTTCTGGATATTTTCGTTCTGCACTCTCTCTGTCTACAGCACTATCAAGGATCTGAAGTTTGCTATGAGGTTTCTTATACTCCTCATTCTTCTAGATATCAAACGATTCCGTAAGTCATGACCCACGATGCCGAGCCGCAATCCTCGACGTCGTCCGCCTCTTCTTCACCAATTTACATCCACCCAAGATGTGAGCCCTTCGAGCACGGCCTTCTCCCCATTCCCAAGCTCATCTTCACCGACGGCACCGAAACAATGGGCCCCATTTAGGAAAATTTGCGTGGACAACTCGGTTAGTATGCAAGATGAGGCAGAATTTGTTTTGCTGGGTTTCTTATTTACCAGGATTTACTCATTATTTTTACACAATGTGAAGGATGATTGCCAAGTTGGCTCGTGTCCATTTAGTTGATAAACTTTTGTCTAAGATGGAAAAAGAGGGTTTTAGGTTGTCATTTAGCACCCTTAGATTAATAATTGATTTCTATGGGATTTCTGGTACGTAAAAACAATCTGTGGTCCTAATGATGATTATGCTTCTTTAAACGTAAAAACAATCTGTGGTCCTATTTCTAAACGCAGTCAGTTGATTCTGAAAATTCATTTCTCTTGAAGACATTAGCCAAGTGCAAAAGTGAAATTTTAATATACTAAAAATTAGTCTTATATTAGTGTTCCATCTTATAAGTTGGACCGTGGTTTAAGGCACTCTAATCATCAATCGAGCAATACGTAAAGCTTAATGAGAACCAAGTAATAATTGCATAGCACAAATTGAAAGAGCAAAAGGAATTCTGATGTCATTACAGTACAACCAGACAACACAAGGCTTAACCCTAGCTACCCCCACTGGTGACGACTCCTCATCACTGGTTTGCACCACCTCCAAGGCCTTATCAAAATGAACTCCCTTAATCCCCGGTATTCCTTCCACGATATGGGGGGATACCTAGAATCACGGCCCTTGACTAATTTGGCCGGAGATGAAATTTTTAAGTCAATCTCCGGACCAAAGAAGTAGGTGATGGAGATGCGGTGGGAGGTTTGGCTAACAACAGCCCGATGCTTAACACTTTTAAAGTGTCCATTTGAAAAGATTTGCATCATGTCGCTAACATTAACGACAAGTGCATCGGGTATGGGTTTCACATCAACCCATTTTTTGTTGCGGCCAAACACTTGCAAACCAGTGTTGGTGTTGCTTTGGTAAAGCAACGTGATGAGTGAGGAGTCGGTGTGTGGCACCATGCCCAGTGCCCGGGTTGGGTCTGGGCATGTTGGGTATGAATTGAAGTGGAGGAAGGCACTTGTGTTTTTGGACTTCAACCAGTCCACATCTTCCTCCGACATGCCCAATGCTTTGACTATTAAAGAAGTGATCTTTATAGCCAAGCCCTTAAGTTGCTCCTTGTAGTCCTCAACAGCAGTGCTAAGCAAACAAAGCAGAAAAAAAAAATGCATCTTGTTAAGTATGTATATATTCTCATAAAGATTAAAAAAAAAAAAAAAAAACACAAGTGTGGGAATCGGAAATACCAGAAAGGGGAGTAGTCTTCCGGCCAAACCAGGCGTGCTTGCTCCTCCGGCGTATCCGAAACCGTGAATCCTTCCATCCACATCAAGCTGCTATAAGCGCTAGATGCGGGGATGATGCCGTAGCCGGGGCGGGAGGGGATTCCGGGAGAGCGGAGAGTGAGTATCTTCTTCTCCTTGGGCAATGCAAAGAAGCTGCGAGCCTGATGCTCAATCTCGGCAAGAAGGGCGAGAGGAACGGCATGGTTTTTCACCTGAAAGGCACCCCAGTTTTCGCAGGCCGTTTTTATTTTGTTCACGGCTTCAGGGTCCTCAAGATCAATTATGGGAATAGACTCCTCGCTTGAAGAAGCGTTGGAGGAGAGGGAGTCCCAAGTGTGGGAAGCCGGAACATCCACAGCATTTTCAAAGTCCATGGGGACTAGATGGTTGAGCTGGGTGTTCATGGTTGTGTATGTGTCTATGTGATGATGAGAATGAAGGTAGAAGCTAAGGGAGGGAGGCTGCGCTGGTTGTGTATGTGAGAGGGAGAGGGAGAGGGAGATTATGTAGAAGCTAGAAGGGGTTGTGTATGTGAGAGGGAGAGGGAGAGGGAGAGGGAGATTATGTAGAAGTTTGTGTGTAGTATATAATATGCTTGGGAAGGGGAAGGGGAAGAACAACAGAGAGAAAGAGCAGATTGCAGATTGAACAGATAGAGAGACAGAGAGGGAGAGGGGAAAATAAGAAGAAGCAGATTGCAAAGAGGATCGGAGGGAAAGAATGCATATATATAAACATATGTACGTACATGCATGCAAATATTTAGTCCGTGAGCTAGGTTAAATGGCCAAATTACAGCTAGCTCAAACCTTCTTATGGGTAGTTTATGTCATTTTCGTCAATTGTAACTATATATTAATTATATTTTTAAGGGGCATGGGTGGGGTTAAATGGCCAAATTACAGCTCAAACGTACTTAATATTTACAAATATTCAAAGTTTGGTGATAATTTAAAGCACACTAGCTACAACACAAAACATGACTCAAAATAATTTGCCCTTGCTTCAACTAAATTTGCTCAAAATTCAATCAAATTACATTGTTTTCAATGGACAATGAATAAATTAAATGTCATTTTTAGTATATTGAATATTCAATTTTAATATACAAAAATTCAATTTTTTATGAATATTTAAAATTTGAGAGGTAAAGTAGAAAATTCACACTTTATTTTCCTTCTTATATCAACTTCGAATGGATCGGAGCTCTTATTGATGAGGTGGGAAAGAAGGATGCGTTGTTTTATAATAATTAGAATTAAAATGACAAAATGTTTAAATATACATGGTAATTTTAGATAACCTAAGAAATATAAGGGAATCACATTCACTTCAAAATCCTATGTGGATGGTATGTTGTACGTATTCCTTTGGGGATGTTAAATTCCCTTGAGAAAGTAAGATAACATGAACCAAAAATGAAAATATAAACTTAAAAATGTCACATTCTATTGGTTATATTGTAACCAAACACCCCATAATTATTATAAAATATATAATTTATGTGGACTTATTATATGTATCATTTTTAATTATTTTTATAATTATATATTTTATTTTATTGTTCATTACGCCATATTAATTAGTTTATCACGATTTGGACTCACAAAATTACAAGTGAGTTAATTTTGCTGAATAACTTGATAAATGTTTTACTGACGAAATATTAGAGTAAAGAAATACTAAAGTTTATATTTTTTGGTTAAAAAAATGTATATATATATATATATATATATATATATATATAAACATATGTACGTACATGTGATTAGTCTTTGATTAATCAAATATTTAGTCCGTGATTATTAGTCTAATTTGGACATGAAATTAGACATTAAGGTGTATTTGGTTCATGGGGCGACACAAGAAATGATAATGAAACTCATAAACATTATTTGGTGGACAATTTTTTTAAAACACATGTATAGGATTTGATTACCTTTATTTATTTATTTATTTGGGTGAGGTTAAATGGCCAAATTACAGCTAGCTCAAACCTTCTTATGGGTGGTTTATGTCATTTTCGTCAATTGTAACTATATATTATTAAGGGGTTAACAACAAACCATGGGTGGGATTAACAATAGTTATGCTGTGCAACCGAATGTACCATGCGCATGGTACATACGGTTCAAAACGACGTCGTTTTGACTACAAACGCGCGTTCCACTTTAAAAAAAAATCAGGTTCGATTCTCAGCAATAGCATTATTGTGGATATATAATTATGAAATTGTGGATATATAGTTATGAAATTGTGGTTATATAGTTATGAAATTGTGGTTATATAATTCATTCATTGTGGATATTTAGTTCAATCATATATTGTGGATAGTTAGTTCATTCATTGTGGATTTTTACTTCATTCATTCATTCATTCATTGTGGATTTTTACTTCATTTATTCATTCATTGTGGATTTTTACTTCATTTATTCATTCATTGTGGATTTTTACTTCATTCATTCATTCATTGTGGATTTTTACTTCATTCATTCACTGTGGATATATAGTTATGAAATTGTGGTTATATAGTTCATTCATTGTGGATATTTAGTTCAATCATATATTGTGGATATTTAGTTCATTCATTGTGGATTTTTACTTCATTCATTCATTCATTGTTGATTTTTACTTCATTCATTCATTCATTGTGGATTTTTACTTCATTCATTCACTGTGGATATATAGTTATGAAATTGTGGTTATATAGTTATGGAATTGTGGTTATATAGTTATGAAATTGTGGTTATATAAAAATGCTATTACCGGGAATCGAACCTGATTTATTCTTTAAGTGGGACGCGCGTTTTTTTTTAACCAAAACGACGCCGTTTTGCAACCGTATGCACCTTGCAAGGTGCATTCGGTTGCACAGCATAATTTGCGTGGGATTAAATGGCCAAATTACTGCAGCTAGCTCAAACCTAAGATAACCTAAAATATAATTAGAATTAAAATGACAAAATGTTTAAATATACATGGTAATTTAAAATAACCTAAGAAATATAAGGGAATCACATTCACTTCAAAATTTCATGTGGATGGTATGTTGTACGTATTCTTTTGGGATGTTAAATTCCCTTGAGAAAGTAAGATAACATGAACCAAAAATGAAAATATAAACTTAGAAATGTCACATTCCATTGGTTATATTGTAACCAAACACCCCATAATTATTATAAAATATATAATTTATGTGGACTTATTATATGTATCATTTTTAATTATTTTTATAATTATATATTTTATTTTATTGTTTATTACGCCATATTAATTAAGCTGATCACGGGTAGCTTCAACATAATTTGCCAATTCTTCGAGTGTAGACCATTTACTTCAAATCACCATTAGCCCATTATTGATTATTGATTGAAGCATGCAATAGCTCTTTGGAATTATTAACTTAGGAAGGCAAGCAAAAAACTACGTACAATCACCGTCCTTCCAAACACATTTTGCATTTGGAAACCATTATGCCATATTAAGCTATCACGGGTTTCATAATTGTTGTTTTGGGTAGAGCTAGCTAGCAAGGTTAACTTAGTGGGTGGAGTCATTTAATTAGGGAAGTTAGGTTTCATTAATTTTGTTTTGGGGTAGTTAGGGTTTCATTAATTTTCATTACTGGAAATTCTGAAATTTCCGACCAACTGAAAGTTATCTTAAATCAAGTCGAAAGTCTTGTTCCGACCACTTTTGGTATCCAGAAAAACCCTTGTTGCTATTTTCGACCACTTTTTACTTTCAACTTGATTTAAGATCACTTTCAGGTGGTCGGAAATTCAATAATTTCCAGTAGTGTTTGTTTTGGGGTAGAGCTAGCAAGGTTAACTTTTTAAGTGAAGTTTTTTTTTTTTTTTCGTTTAATTAATCTTATTTTGATTATTTAGATCAGAACAAAACTAATATTTGAATTATATTTTTGCATTATTGGTATGATTTAGGTCGTTATGGTATTAATATTTTTTTTTAATGTATTTTTATAAAAATACAATTGTACAGTATGTTACAAATATAAATTATAATAACGAATATTATATAGTGCAATTGATGAAATTTATTGTATTGATTATGTTTTTTTGATGTTATCCTTGTTTTTTTGTATAATCACGAGCTGCCAACCTAGATGAATGTCCCTGCCTTGTAATTAAACATATACAGTTCGTTCGAGATGTGGAAATATCTAGCTATTTGAATGGGGCCATATACTTTTTGACCTTATATATTTTCCAGTAGCAACATAAACTAGGGTGTTATTATCAAATCACATGCCCCTTGGCTTCATGCCCACCAAGAACATGAAATTATGCCAACCAAGAACGTAACATGAAATCATAGAATTAATACTGACCGGAGAAAGAGAATCTACAGATACGAAACTTTAATTTGTTCACAAGGTGTTAACCATTTTCTCTTTGCGATAGTCTAGGACCAAACAATCACTTATTTTATAAGTTAATATGGCGTAATAAAAAATAAAATAAAATATATAATTACAAAAACAATTAAAAATGATACATATAATAAGTCCACATAAAATATATGTTTTATAATAATTTGAATTAAAAGGGCAAAATATTTAAATATACATGGTAATCTTGGATAACCTAAGAAATATAAGGGAATCACATTCCCTTCAAAATCTTATGTGGATGGTATGTTGTATTCCTTTGGGGTTGTTACATTCCCTTGAGAAAGTAAGATAGCATGAACCAAAAATGAAAATGTAAACTTAGAAATGTCACAATCCATTGGTTATATTGTATAACTTGAATCAAACACTCCTTAATTATTATGAAATATATATTTTATGTGCACTTATTATATGTATCATTTTAATTTTTTTATAATTATATATTTTATTTAATTGTTTATTACGCCATATTAAGATGATCACGGGTAGCTTCGAACTAGCTTCAAAATAAGAAGTAGTATATTGGCTTGAAGCTAAGGGTTAAAAATTAAAGCTAAGGTTTTTAATTTAGTTGTCATCATTTGGAAAGGGAATTAAAGCTACCCGTGATCAGCTTAATATGGCGTAATAAACAATAAAATAAAATATATAATTATAAAAATAATTAAAAATGATACATATAATAAGTTCACATAAAATATATATTTTATAATAATTAGAATTAAAATGACAAAATGTTTAAATATACATGGTAATTTAAAATAACCTAAGAAATATAAGGGAATCACATTCGCTTCAAAATCCTATGTGGATGGTATGTTGTACGTATTCCTTCGGGGATGTTAAATTCCCTCTAGAAAGTAAGATAACATGAACCAAAAATGGAAATTTAAACTTAGAAATGTCACATTTCATTGGTTATATTGTAACCTAACACCCCATTATTATTATAAAATCTATAATTTATGTGGACTTATTATATGTATCATTTTTAATTATTTTTATAATTATATATTTTATTTTATTGTTTATTAGGCCATATTAAGCTGATCACGGGAGCTTCAACATAATTTAGTCTATATGATTTGATTACATTTTTTTTTTTTTTTGGGTGAGAACTTGATTATCTCTATAATTAAAAAAAAAAAAAAAAAAAAAAAAAAAAAAAAAAAAAAGAGCAAAACTCATTACCTAATTTAAATAAGGTATCATTTCTTTAATTGAGCGTTATCTCTACTCATTTCATCACTTTCTCATTTCGTCGCCTCCTCACTGGCCACTACAC